CGGAGGGGTGGGGGGGGGGGGGGCGGGGGGGGGGGGGGCTGGCGCTTGAATGGGAGGGGGGGGCTCCCCCGGTCTCTGTCCACTCGCTGTAGGGAAACGCTCCAGAGCAGGCGGGGGGGGGGGGGGCTGGCGCTTGAATGGGAGAGGGGGGCTCCCCCGGTCTCTGTCCACTCGCTGTAGGGAAACGCTCCAGAGCAGCCGGGGGGGGGGAGGTGAAGCGCCCCAGTCTCAACGGTCTCAATCCAGGCGCTCCTGCTTGGTCCCCCCGTCCCCCCCCCGGGCAGAGCAAGAGCAGGAGTGGCCCCTTCTCTGCTCCTCTCCCTTTAGGATGTCGGGGCCTGGATGATGGACAAGTCGGAGGCCGAGGCCGTGGACCTGGTGCTGAAGCTCCAAGAGAAGCTGGTAAGCGGCTTCCCCTCAGCCCCACCCAGCTACCCCACTGCCACCCCCGGTCACTCTGCAGGGGAGCCAGAAAAAGGGGGGGGGCGCAAGGTGTGGCATCTCAGCCGTTCCAGGAATGGACACACTAGCCCCACCTATGATGACCGCGCACGCACACACACACACACGCACACCCACACACACCCCAGGCAACTGCAGCCTTTGCCTGGAAAGCAGCTGGGTGGGGCTTCCCCTTCTGGGGAGGGAGGGGCAAAGGGAAGCCTTTCCAGCCGGCCTCTGCCCAGAGGGGCTCCTGCCAGGACCGCTGCCTGGGAGGAGGGGCCTGGCTGTCCGGTTGGTTCCTCCATGCAGGTCCAAGCCAGGAGCCGAGGCCTCCCTGCCAGAGAGGAGACGCTCCAGCGAGTGGGTCAGCACGTTGCCCTTGTGGCCCAGTCGCTGCCCGAGGACCTGCGAGCCATTCTGTGTGGCCAGGAAACAGCCAGTGCCAGCTGAAGGGGGCAGCTCACCGGGGGCCGGGGGGAGGCAATTCAGGGAGGAGAGGGCCCTTTGGGGCCTTTATGGCAGAGGATCGGTCCTGGGACTCGAATGGAGAAGGTGCCAAGCCTGGGTGGAAGCAGAACGGCGCAGTTGACGTGTGTGGCTGTGCGATGGACAGTGGTTGTGTGTCCTCCAGAGGAGCTAATAAAGCTGAATTATCAGCAGGGGCCTCCGCTGAGCTTCCTTCGGAGATTCCGCGCATTTCCCACTCCTGGAATCCGTCCGTTCAGAGAAGGGCAGCAGAACCGTCTCTGCAAGGGCCCAGGGAAAGCCTGGGGGTCAGCAGGGAGTCGCCTAATGAAAGCTCGCCAGATGGAAGCCCGGAGCGGATGCTTCTCCCCGTCTCCAGCCCACGTGGGCAACTGGAAGACCCCAGGGCCTCTGCGGGAGGAACCGCCCTCAGCGTCCCCCCGCCCCTGCCTTTCAGCTGCTTGGCTGAGCCGCCAGGGGTGGAAAAGGACCCCGTCCCCCAGCCTTGACCACGAAGATTCGTTCTGCCCCCAAGAGGCCAGGAGGGAGCAAGGGCTTGTGGAACAAGGGGGGCAGCGGGGGGGGGGCTGGGTCAATGCTCTCCCACCTCCTCAAGCCTTTTAAGGGTCAGAGGCAGCAGGACACCCCTCAAGGCGGAGGGGAGGCTTGGCTCTGCCCACAGGTCTGAAGTTATGGGAGGACCTGGGCTCCATGGACCCTCAGGGTCTGGGTGGTGCTGGGCGGAAGGCACATTCGGGGGCCCAACAGGCTGCACTCTTTGTCCTCAGAGGGGAACGTGGCTGGCTGGAGCCAAGCAGCCCCGAGACTTTGCAGCCTTGATTCAAAACTAGAGGGCTGCCCCCCACCCCCATTGAAGGGAGGCCGTGGGGTGAAGCTCCGTACACATTTTATTGAGCAGGAGGGTCTCCTGCTGAAGCAGGGGGTTGGAGTAGAAGACCTCCGAGGCCCCTTCCGGCTCTGTTACTCAAGGGGTGCTCTCTCTCGTGCGCAGCTGGAGCCGGAGAGGCTTTCAGGGCTAGCCAGACGCAGCCAAGGAGTCATCGAAGGAGGCCTTCAGGTCCGGCGAGCAATACAGTGGGAGCCGCTCGCCCGCAACCTCCTGGCGGAAGCTGCCCCTCAACCAGCCATAGACCAGGCTGTGCAGGAAGCCCTGGAGGGGGGCAGTCAGGGCCTGGGCAGGGCAGAGAAGTTTGTCGTGATTCCCCTGCAGGGGTCTCTGCTGACCACCAGAGGAGGTCCCTCCTCTCCCTCCCGCTACTCACCGTGGCCACCAAGAGAGGGAAAAGGGTGGAGAGCTGCAGGCCGGTGAACGATAGCACCACAAGGAGGCAAGCTGTGGACAAGAAAGCCGGCCGGTCACTGCCTCTGCTCAGCCTGGTGGGTGAAGCGCTTGGCCGCAGGCAGGCTGGGCTCAGAAGGCCAGCTGGAAAACGGGTACGGGCCACTGACCTGGCATCCAGCAGAGCACGAGGACCAGCTGGAAGCTGCGGATGACACGGCTTCTGCCGGCAAGACCCTCGCTCTGCAGCCCGTGCCGGTCCCGGCATTGCCACCTCTTCACCCTGCAGTAGAGAACCTGCCCAGGGAGGAGGGCAGCGGCATCAGGACGGCCACATCCAATCCTGGGGGAGCAGAGGGCAACCTCTGTGGGGCCTTTGGGGAGCCTCCATGCCCGCCCTGGCAGCCAATGGGGGGAGAGGGAGGATGTCCCCCACAAAGCCACCTCCCTTGCAGACAGAGCTCTGCCACGGATTGTAAAGCTGCACCCTAAAACAAACTCAAAGTTTAAGTCCAGGCAATAACGTTTGAAGCGCAATAGACTCGAGTTTCTTGGCACCAGGGATGGTTTCGTTGGCCCTGGAATAAAGCCAGCCACAAGGTGGCAGCTCTTTTACCACTGGCTTGGTTTGGGCTCAGGGAGGGAGGGTGGGCGGGTGACCTGGCCTGGCCTCCCAGCAGCCCTTTAAAGGAGGGCGAGCCCTGCCTCAGCCAGATGTTTCAACCCAGCCCCTGGATCCAGCCCCTTCTGGTCGGCCCCTGGAGCTTCAGGAGAAGCAAAGCCTCCTGCTCTCTTTGTTCTCGTGCCCTTCACTGTCTTTGTTGGGGCTGGGCAGATTCTAGCTGGATACGCAAGCCCCTTCCCCAATCTATCTGCCACCTTGTTTCTCCCACCCCCGAGGTCCACGGAACAGCCTCATGCCTCACTTACCACACAAGCAGACACAACCAAGGCCACAAACGCCAGGAAGATGATGCTGCTTTCCTTGCTGGAGTGCTGAGGGGTGAGAGGGGGGCCTGGGCTCCTGGGGGCCTGGGCAGCAGCATTGGAATATGGTAAAGAAAAATATACATCAAGAAATGGCTTTCCTCCTCTGTGTGTGCATGTGTGTGTGTGTTCAGGTCTTTTCCTGTTTAAGATTGAGATTGTCTTGGCAACGCTTCAGCGAGGTCTCACTCGCCATCTTCAGGCTGGGTTTTGGGCTTAAAGTGTGATCGGAGCTGCCATCTTTCTATAAATCTTGGTGGGGAGTGCTGGCTTTGTTTCAGTAGGTGGAATGATTGGTTGTGTGGTTGTATCATGATTGGTAGATTGGTGCTGACTGTGTGTACATTGTTGTTTTGTGTTGTAATGGCCTGGGTGGTGGGTGGGGCTCGTTTGTTGACTACGGCTGGTTTCCAGATGTTTGGTAGGCAGGAAGTTTATTCATCACGTTAATTCATGTTGTGGGGCTGTTTCTCTATTTCGATAGCTTCCATAATTATTCTCTTGTTGAAGTGTTCTGTTTTGGACATTAACCTGGTTCCTTCAAAATTAATCTCATGTCCTGTAGCTTTAAGGTGCTGGAAAACGGAGGAAGTTTTTTCTTTTTTCCTTACTGCATTCTTGTGTTCTGCGATGCGTGCATTTATTATCTTATTCGTTTGTCCTATGTATGTTGCAGGGCAGATTTTGCATGGTATTTCGTAGACTCCAGCTAGAAAACCGCCTACCAAACATCTGGAAACCAGCCATAGTCAACAAACG